CAACGCTAGTGTCATTGAGATGAACTGTGCCCCATTGGTGGGATCATTAGTAGGAATTGTGTCCTATCTTTGATGTCATTAGGAGGAATTATACCCCAACGCTGGTGTCATTGAGATGAACTGTGCCCCATTGGTGGGATCATTGGTAGGAATTGTGCCCTATCTTTGATGTCATTAGGAGGAATTATACCCCAATGCTGGTGTCATTGAGATGAACTGTGCCCCACTGGTGGGGTCAGTGGTAGGAATTGTGCCCTGTATTTGTGTCATTAGAAGGAATTATGCCCCATCGCTGGTGTCATTGGGAGGAACTGTACACCATTGTTGGTGTAATTGGGAGGAACTGTGCCCCATCATTGGTGTCATTGGAAGAAATTGTGCTCTATCTTTGTTGTCATTGGGAGGAATTTTGCCCCATCGTTGGTGTCAGTGGATGAAGTCGTGCATCCAAGGGCCAGATAAAAGCAAGAAAAGGGCCACATCCGGCCCCGGGCCACAGTTTGGAGACCACTGTTCTAGAGCAATCCCCATTGTTCAATCACAATTATCAACCAAAAGAAAAAAAAAAATCCCAAAACCTGCGAGGGGGCCACTCTGTTTTTTTTTTTTTTTTTTATTTTTTTACCCCTTTCTGCTGTGGCCTTTCCGGACGTTTAAGAGGGTCCAAATACTGGGAGGCAAAGGTGGACCTTCTGATCATGTGACCGCTGTGATTGGCTGTTGCAGCAGTCGCATGATTGGATAACAAGTATGGATGGGGAGCTTTCCAATACACATTCGTTACTGGGAGCAGGCAAGGAGCACACTGTCAGCATAGTAAAGTGCTTACATTGGGATGTATATATGTGGCCGCTTGGCGGTGAAGCCCACCCACCGAGGGGCCACATATATGCGTACGGGAGACTTAACTATTGTGAAGGCTTTGTTTCCAAGGTTGGGGATTACCGGCCAGTACATGATTGGGGACAGGTGACATCACTGGTTACTTAATGAATTTATTGGATAAAGTTGCAGTCACAAAGGTGAGAGGGCAGATGGGCATGTACCAAACGTGTGCCAGGAAACCGACAGTCATAGTGGACTCCCAGCCTTGGCCACCAGGGAAACTAACTGGACCTGGAAAGCATCGCTGTGACGATCACAGGGTGTAGGCTTCCCTTGTGGAAGGTGTACCATGCCTCAGGAATGAGGCCGTAAGCTGAAGTTCTCCACCCAGGATCACCTGTGGGCCATTCACAGTTGGGAACACCAACAGTTTCAAGGCTACCACGCCTTTTCTTCTGCCTCTGACAAAGAGGAGTAATAAACTCGAAACACGTTCCCAACTGTGCATGCACCACAAGTAACATCAGGCAGAAGAGAACTTCGGCTTACTGCTTCAACCCCGAGGCATCATGTACCTTCCACAAGCAGCACCGACACTTGTGGCCATCACAGCCCTGCCATCCAGGTCCGGGCAATGTCCCCATGCTGGCGGCCAAGGCTGGGAGTCCACTTTGACTGATGTTTTCCTGGCACAGATTATGTACATGATTGAGACCAGGTGACATCACTGGTTACTAATGAACTGGTTAATAACCATTTACAGCAGAAGGGGGTGGCTGCCATATACAGTGGTGGAAGAAAAACCTGCATCTACTATGTGGATGATGCTTGGCTAAAAGAGAAAAGACATGGCGCAGGCACTCCATAGCGTAGAATCAAACCTTCATGAATTTATTGGATAAAAGATAAAATAGCAGTCACAAAGGTGAGAGGGCAGATGAACATGTACCAAACGTGTGCCAGGAAACCAACAGTCATAGTGGACTCCCAGCCTTGGCCACCAGGGAAACAAACTGCACCTGGAAAGCATCGCTGTGATGATCATAGTTGTAGGCACCCCTTTTGGAAGGTGTACCATTCCTCAGGAATGAGGGCGTAAGTTGATGTTCTCCTCCACTTGGCATCACCTGTGGGCCATTCACAGTTGGGAACACCAACAGTTTCAAGGCTACCACGCCTATTCTTCAGCCTCTGACGAAGAGGCGTAATAGACTCGAAACACGTTCCCAACTATGAAAGCACCACAGGTAACATCAGGCAGAAGAGAATTTCGGCGTACTGCTTCATCCCCAAAGCATCGTGCACCTTCCACAAGCAGCACCAAGACTTGTGACCATCACAGCCCTGCCATCCAGGTCCGGGCAATGTCCCCATGCTGGTGGCCAAGGCTGGGAGTCCACTTTGACTGATGTTTTCCTGGCACAGATTATGTACATGATTGGGACCAGGTGACATCACTGGTTACTAATGAACTGGTTAATAACCATTTACAGCAGAAGGGGGTGGCTGCCATACACAGCAGTGGAAGAAAAACCTGCATCTACTGTATGTATGATGACTGGCTAAAAGAGAAACGACATGGCGCAGGCACTCCATAGCGTAGAATCAAACCTTCATGAATTTATTGGATAAAAGATAAAATAGCAGTCACAAAGGTGAGAGGGCAGATGAACATGTACCAAACGTGTGCCAGGAAACCAACAGTCATAGTGGACTCCCAGCCTTGGCCACCAGGGAAAAGAACTGGACCTGGAAAGCATCGCTGTGATGATCATAGTTGTAGGCTCCCCTTGTGGAAGGTGTACCATGCCTCAGGAATGAGGCCGTAAGTTGACGTTCTCCTCCACTTAGCATCACCTGTGGGCCATGCACAGTTGGGAACACCAACAGTTTCAAGGCTACCACGCCTATTCTTCAGCCTCTGACGAAGAGGCGAAATAGACTCGAAACACGTTCCCAACTGTGCATGCACCACAGGTAACATCAGGCAGAAGAGAATTTCGACATACTGCTTAATCCCCGAGGCATCATGTACCTTCCACAAGCAGCACCGACACTTGTGACCATCACAGCCCTGCCATCCAGGTCCGGCCATGTCCCTATGCTGGTGGCCAAGGCTGGGAGTCCACTTTCCTGGCACAGATTATGTACATTGCCCATCCACCCTTCCCACCTATTATGAGTGCAATTTTTTTTCTTTTATTCACTAAATTCATTATTGTTTAATGTGACATTATGGAGTGTCTGCGCTGTGGGATTTGTCTTTTAATCTCTTCCATATGGAGTGTCCTCTCCTGGTAGCTTGGCAGCAACACCCCCATAGCTAGAATGGTTGTTTCTTCATTAGGTTCGGGCTACCCACACTGATTTATTTTTAGACATTTAATGTACAATTATCCGTCATAGTATATTACACAGTTACAATGTCCGCGACTGATTGCCCAGACGGTTCTGGTTATAGTGCGCTGTGGTCTCAGTCACACACGGTATATGATGTCTGGAACCTGCTGAAGTGGCTGAAAGTCCCACATTCAGATTGAACCCGGAACTTATCACCGATCACCGACACGTCACATGTACAATAGAAAAAACTTTATTCACATTAACATCTCCTTTCCTAAATCCTCCTAAATCCTCCTCCATCACCAGGACACATCGAGTGATCATAAGATACAACACCACAATGATACATTGTAAAAGGGATCCAGCAGAATTCTATTGGTGATCCATTCTATGGGGACACATATTAGGATCCATTACAAAAAGGGATCCAATAGAATTCTATTGGTGATCCATTCTATGGGGACACATTATATTGGGGATACATTATAAAAGTGATCCAATAGAATTCAATCACTAGAAATCTATTGGATTCCTTTTATAATGTATCCTAATATAATGTGTCCCAATTGAATGGAGCGCCAATAGAATTCCTTTGGATCCCTTTTATAATGTATCCCCAAAATAATGTGTCCTCATAGAATGGATCGCCAATAGAACTCTTTACGTGTTCCATTCTATGAGGACACATTATATTAGGATCCATTATAAAAGTGATCCAATAGAATTCAATCAGTGATCCATTCTATGGGGACACATTATATTAGGATCCATTATAAAAGTGATCCAATAGAATTCAATCAGTGATCCATTCTATGGGGACACATTATATTGGGGATACATTATACAAAAATCTATTGGATCCCTTTTATAATGGATCCTAATATAATTTGTCCTCATAGAATGGATCGCCAATAGAATTCTAGTGGATCACTTTTATAGCATATCCCCCCCAAAAATGTGTCCCCTTAGAATGGATCACCAACAAAACTCTATTTGTAATCCCATCTATAGGGGCACATTATATTTAGGATCCATTATAAAAGCGATCCAATAGAATTCAATCAGTGATCCATTCTATGGGGACACATTATATTAGGATCCATTATAAAAGGGAGCCAGTAGGACTCTATTGGGGATCCATTCTATGGAGACACATGATGATGTCCCCTTAGAATGGATCACCAACAAAACTCTATTTGTAATCCCATCTATAGGGGCACATTATATTAGAATCCATTATAAAAGCGATCCAGTAGGATTCTATTGGTGATTCATTCTATAGGGGCACATTATATTAGGATCCATTATAAAAGGGAGCCAGTAGGACTCTATTGGGGATCCATTCTATGGGGACACATGATATTGGGGACACATTCCGGTTCTATTCATCAGACATTATTATAGTCAGATCATTAAATTGGGGATAGATCCCATGTTTTCTGTCACTAGTAAATCTCGGGATCATTTCTTCATGTTTCCTCTGAGATTTCTCCATCAATTTTCATCTCTATTTGTAGATCGATTATTTATTTGTATTTCTTCACACAAAAAAATAATCCATAGAACAAACGCTTTAAAAAAGTATTAATAATAAGGAATGAGACAAATTCTAATGACAGATAGATAGAAAAATAGGGAATTGTGTTAATATGGAAGTAAAGTATGTCTGTTAACTTAAAGGGCCTTACAGGAATTCTCACTTATATTTATTTATAGTAGAAGCTCATGCAGGACGCTGATCAAAGCCCGTCCCACCGCTTTATCTTATTGGTTGAATTTTCCACCGACCCATCCCTCCTCTTTTTGACATCACCAGTCTCTGGACAGATTTCTCACATCTTCTGATTCCCCCCACATATCTTCATTTTACCCCCATCCCATACCCATACCCCGGCATGGAGGGGCTCAGTGAAGGTGGTGGTGAAGGTGCGGATGTATCGGATTGGGTCACACAGATCATAAAAAACAATCCGCCCGGCATCATAATCCAGATATATCCTGATTCTGTTACTGATGATATTAATAGGTAAGTGGATCCCTTTACCGTCATGTATCACCAAATACTTTTTATCTTTTTTGACCAAACCCCAGGACTTGTTATTCCATCCAATCAGTGACTGCAGTCCTTTCCTGTCTATACTGGGGTAACTCATCCCAACTATCCATTTATCTGATCCCCCAACATCCACATCCCAGTAATGTCTCCCTGAGGAGAAACTCTGACTGCTCAACGCCTGAAGATAACCTTGAAACCTCTCTGGTATTTTGGGACGATTCTGGTATCTATCTGACCAGGAGGCTATTTTCCTGTCACCTGATACATGGAGATAATTATGAGCTGTGTTTACATCCAGTAATATGTCCTCAGCTTCCCGTTCATAGATATGTACATTTACCCGTAATATTATATCAGACAATGTGCGTAATGTGTGTGATATCCCAGCCATATTCAGACCTCCTGCATCATGGAGGAGTTTCTCATGTCTCTCTCTGTCCTCATCATCTCCATCCTCAGTATCACACAAGTCACCTGTGTCTGATTCCTGTAGGACAGTCAGTGGATCCATCATGTTACACAGCTCCTCAATGTCACGCATCTTCTTGGACAGATCCTCCTTCTTTATTTCCAGATCCCGGATCATAGCGGACATGCAGATGGAGACCCCCTGTGCCCACTTGGAAATCTCATCCAGGAATTTCTCCTCCAGGTCCTCCAGACGTCTCCTGAGAACCTTAAACAGGGCAGTGACTTTCTCGGTGTCACCTGTTGCTTTTTGTTCTACTTTCCTCCTGTGTTCCTGCAGACTCTGGACTCTTTCCTCCGTCTCCTCTCTCTTTGTCAGAAGTTTCTGCAGAACATTCCTCAGTGTCTCCTTCTTCTTCTCAAAAGCCTGATCCAATATCTCCACCTGGTGTCCTCGATGTTCTCCAGCCAAACTGCAGGACACACAGATACAAGTGGAGTCCTCAGTGCAGTAATACTCCAGGATCTTCTTATGGACGGAGCATTTCTTTTTCTCCAGGGATGAGGTGGGGTCAGTTAAGATGTGTTCTGGGGACTTTTTGTGGACTCTCAAGTGTTTATCACACAGAGAAACCTCACAGTGTAGACAGGATCTAACAGCAGGTACAGGAGAGTCCACACAGTGAGTACAGAAGACCCCGGACTCCTCCTGATCTGGCTGGACAGTCAGGAAATTCTCCACGATGTTACACAGTGTTATGTTCCTCTGCAGTGCAGGACGACTCTTGAACCTCTTTCTGCATACAGGGCAGAAGTAATCTCCAGACCCCCCCTGTGTATCCAACACACGATCAATACAGACCCGGCAGAAGTTGTGTCCACATCTCAGCATTACAGGATCTGTATAAACGTTCAGACAGACGGAACATTCCAGTTCAGCTCTCAGATCAGCAGACGCCATCGCTGAAAGCAGAAAGAGAAAGGCACGGGAAGACTGCAGTTGGGAGGGGTCACTTCCTCCTACACAGGACGAGGCTTGAGTTGACACGGAAGAGTACAAAGTATGGAAGGGGGGAGGTGTTTTCCGCAGTGGTGGAGATAATCACACTTCCCCACATTAGGGTGGACATCTCATCTCTTTGAACCCGAACACATATTAATGACACAGGTTGTGGGGTTCAATTACCACCTTCATCAGCCCCAGAACCATTGGTGTCATTCATATGTGTTTGGGTTTGAAGGGATGAGGTGGCCACCCTACCCTACTTTAGAAGATGGGAAAGAGGGAACAATTGCTGCTTTCTTCAAAAGGATACGCGGGTAGTCGCTGAGCTGGACTGTCTCAGGGCTCATGGACTTTAAATCACACAGAACCCTGAACAATAGTTCCTACTCAGAGGTCGAACACTCCACACGGACGTCTATGTGCCTGTTATAACAAACAACGTTTTCCCTCTTTGTAACGACGGCATGCTCTCCTACACACGAGAGCCGTTAGCACCCACCTCTGGAGGTAGTAGAGGAGTCCCAACCATGGACTGGAGACCTGGGGCTGGGGGGTCTAGCAATGCCCCCGTTTGCTGCGTGCTTTCTAGATTCATAATGGCAACTGGAACATGCTGATATTCGTGGCTAAATGGTTAGCATTTCCACTTGGTGGTACTAGGGTTGTCGGTTCGAATCCCAACCATGGCACCACCTGCCTGGAGTTTGCATGTTCTCCTTGTGCCTGTGCGGGTTTCCTCCAGGTACTCCGGTTTCCTCCCACACTCCAAAGCCATGCTGGTAGGTGAATTGTCTCCTGTCTAAATTGTCCCTAGTATGTGTATGTATGAATGTCAGTTAGGGACATTAGATTGTATGTCCCTTGCATGTTCTCCCATAGCAGAATTTAGGCAGCACAGTGGCCTGGCAGTGCTAGGGTTCAAATCCCAACCACGGCACCACCTGCCTGGAGTTTGCATGTTCTCCCTGTGCCTGCATGGGTTTCTCGGGTACTCCGGTTTCCTCCCACACTCCAAAGACATGCTGGTAGGTGAATTGTCCCTAGTATGTGTATGTATGAATGTGAGTTAGGGACCTTAGATTGTGCGCCCCTTGAGGGTTAGGGACTGATGGGAATGTACAATATATATGTAAAGAGCTGCGTAAATTGATGGTCCTATATAAGTACCTGAAATAAATAAATGAAAAAAAGACTGAAAATTTGGGGGGAAAAAAAACATTATTTTTTACTTTCTGCTACAAAAAATATCCAATAAATATTAAAAAATAAAATTTCTTCCTAAATTTAGGCCAAATTGTATTCTGCTCCGTCTTCAAGGAAAAACCTAATACGTGTATAATAATTGGTTTGTGTGAAAGTTACAATGTCTACAAATGATGGTTTAAATATAAAAAAATGTTTATTTTATTATTTTACTAGTAATGACGATGGTCAGTGGCTTAGAGTGGGACTGTGATGGGGCAGCTGCCCCAGGCCCAGTCATTGTTGTGGGGCCCAAAGCAGCTGGCCCTTGAGCTCCTTGTCATGGAGAGTCCCAGTCTGGTGGCTGCGGGAGCAGAGCAGCGAAGGCTTCGGATAACGCCGAGCTAAATCCGGTGCAGACAGTGGTGTCCTCCGGGTGCAGGCAGGATGATATCACTTTGCTTTGCATATCATCTCCACACGAGTGTGCAGCCTCAAAGACAGAGGCCATGGGGAAGGCAATCAGTGAGGGAGGCTAGGACTGAGAGACCTCCACCGCCTCCCCTACCCCCCAAGAGGCAAGCAGCAGCGGGTCCGGCATCCCTGGTGCCTCCCAGAGCCTGGACTCCTTCTCCAAACTCCTCTCCTCTCCCAGCTCTGACATCAACACCTATGGTGGCCCAGAGGAAAGGCTGAAGGACGAGGATGGGTGGGAGGTGCAGGCAGCCAGGGACCACTACCTGGGACATCTACTGCTGGCATGGTGGGTACTGGGCATCACACACACCAACCCAATGACAGCTCACCCCCACCCCTCTCTCTCACCCTACTCTCTCTCACCTTCCTCTCTTTCTCTCACCCCCCCCCCTCTCTCACCTTCCTCTCTTTCTCTAACCCCCTCACCCTCTTTCTTATCCCCTCTGTTGCTCTCCCTCCTCTGTCTCGCATCCCCCCTCACCTCACCTCCCCCCCCCCCCTC